AGGGAGGGGGACGGGGGAGGGGCGGAAAAAAAGCACACAGACATCAACTATTTCACCTTCATGAAAGTCTCAATACAGCTATGGAAAGTAAGTATTTATATTCTTTTACAGTACACTGGGTGCCGGCTGCAAAAAAGAAAAAAAAAAGTATTCACTTCAGGCACAACTTCTTTCTTTTTAAATTTAAATCAGTAAAAGAAACTGGGTTTAAAGCTGCAGTGTTCTAAGCAGCAGCAGATTTGTGCATTGTTTTAAATATATTTAAATTACCACACGGGAGGGGCGGGGGGAAAAAAAGCACACAGACATCAACTATTTCACCTTCATGAAAGTCTCAATACAGCTATGGAAAGCCTAAGTATTTATTCTTTTACAGTACACTGGGTGCCGGCTGCAAAAAAGAAAAAAAAAAGTATTCACTTCAGGCACAACTTCTTTCTTTTTAAATTTAAATCAGTAAAAGAAACTGGGTTTAAAGCTGCAGTGTTCTAAGCAGCAGCAGATTTGTGCATTGTTTTAAATATATTTAAATTACCACACTGATGGCACACCTCAGCCTTATGAAATTCTGCACTGCCTGTGTTTCAGAACGCTACAAAAATAAGTCTACCCCAGAAAAAGACTTTCATTGAGCTCTAACAAACTTTGCTGGCTAAAGGACTCAAATTAAATGAAATATGAAAACACTGGAACATTTGGCCATCAACTTAAGTTATCTGAACGTTCGTACGGATTTTGTATCAAGTTGAACTTACTCTACCCTCATATGGTCCTCAGAATTTGAGCAGAGTGAGCTGAAGTGAGCCTTCCGCTTCCACTTGGAAGGAAAGACATAATGCAATTGAGCACTAAGGCATAGTAATACCTTGGCCAAAATAACAAAGATAAAGCATAGATAGTTGTAGTGCAGAATTCCATAAGGTCTACCAGAGTAGAGCTGTCTATAATGTTTATTCACATAGGCAATGTAGATTTGCAGTTACCAGTTGCGTTAAATGCACCATTCAAAACAAGCTTCTAAAATGTGATACTATAAGGCGCCACCTTAAGTTCTCCAGAATGCAACTGTGCATAATTTTAAAATGGTTTCATAAATTTATTTTAAACATAACATGAGAAGGTGTTAAAACCGGTGTAATAGCTTCTTAGAAATTGGAGGAAGGGATGAATAGGGAGATATTCAGTACCCTTCACCAGCCCCCACCACTCAGTCGTACATCAGGTATGGGTTTTGTGGATCAGTCTATAACACCAGCTTGACGGATCTTTCTCTCTGCACCAAATCCCTGCGAGGAAAACAAAACAAACTTTTAGCTCCAGCATCATGCTTTAAAGCAAACCTGTTCCGTTCCAACCAAGTACAGCATTAGCACATTTCTAGTTAGCCACATTTGTCTTCAGAAACAGAGGCAGTAACAAAACACGTTCTGTGGGTTGCTCTTTGCAGTCCTAGATACTTCACAGATTCCAGACACTTTACTCCTTCTGCTTATCACGTGGTGGCAGAACCTTACGTGAAAGCCAAGTTTAGATAAAGGGATTTCACTGAGAAGGGGAGCAGGAGGTTTATAAAAGAAATAAAACAAACCAAGATAGCCATTATGGGCTAGAACACAATTTGTTGCTTCCATACTGTGTGCTCTTCTGAAACCATAGCATACAGTGTTGACACAGGGTATAGCGCCCCTGACTTTGCACAAAAATAATCTGATCTCACACAGCAGGTGACTAGTTCACTATGGAATGAAAGCAGACACCATGTTTCAAACAGTTTAGGCTTCCAACAGAGGAAGCAATGTTATGTTATCCAAGTTAAAACACAAACTGCAGTTATTCTGCAAGCTAGCCTTTTATCTTACGTACCTTTGAGTTATCCGGTCCCCTAGGCTGACGAAGAACTGTTAGACGAGGAGCATTGGCATCATCCAGATTAATGCTCTTTAAACGATTAACAAGTCTATCAGGACGTGGAGCAGCAACAGCCTTAGCGCCTTCACTGTAACAGAGTCAACCATACAGAGCACTGATGACTTCCCAGAGATGGTGTAAGCTACCTAATTTACAGTCGCTTTCCCCATTAAGCCATGAGCATAATCTGTCTCATGTGAAAGCGGACCTTCTGGATGACACCACGTATGTCTGCCTCAAAACCATTACTTAAAACACAGGACTCAAATAGCAGTAGCTCAAAACAGTATTCTCAAAAGGGTATTCTTTAGTGAGCACAGCCGTTGAATTTACTCTCATGCACACATAAGTAGTATTTCCTACATTTCTGTTCTCTTTAACTGGAACAGTAAAAGGCTTTCGAGTTGCCAGTACATAACGGCATAGCATTAACATCTCTGAAGATGATGATAACAGAATTTTGAGAGAAAAAAATTAAATGCTGGCAACTCTACGGCAACAGGAAGCTATCTCAAGCTTAAGCAAAATCCAAATTGTGCAGTTTTCTTCAAAATGTGTAAGTAGCTCAAAAGAAAAAAAAAAAACAAAACCCATTACCTTAAAAAAAAAAATCACATACCAAAAAGAAAAGAGTGCCTAACAACATTGTTCTTCTCTTTAAAAATGAAAGTTGCTCTTCAGGAAACAGGTGGAAGCACTATGTACTATGCTGGCCAGAGAGGCCAGCAACTACATAGAAATACCATCAGTTTTCTTATCATTCATTAATTTCTACTTAGAAGGCTGTATCCAAGTTCCTGCTACGGGGGGGGAGCTTCTTAATAGATTAAAAGAACAAGAAGCTATCTGTAAATAAGAAAAGCTGAGAGTTCTGCTGCTGCACTGTACTGGACACCCCACAAGTGCTAGCAGTTCTCAGGTGAGAAGCTCTCACTGAAGCCAGCTGAAATTCATAGCTCCCATTCTAGGAACAGCTAGCTCAGTTTAGAAGCAGCATGCACTCCACTACTGTGATGTAGACAGCGTGCCACATTAAATCACTTTAATTCTAAATCCTCACCAGACACGCCACACATTACAGGCACTGCATTTTCCTGTGCGCTGGTTCAGGATTACCGAGAACTCCACTTCATCCCCAGCCTGTAGTTCCACACCATCCTGAACTTCTTTGACATGGAAGAAGAGCTTTTTGCTGTCACCCACTTCATAGTTAATGAAACCGAACTGAAAACCAACACATCACAAGGTTATTTCTTTCCTCTTGATCCAAACAGATGCAATGACTTACTCATTATTGCAGTTTAACTATTTCTAAGAAGAAAAAAAAAAAAAACCCTGAAGTACCTAATGGAAGTGGAAATGCAATTTCTACACTGAACAGAAGATTCCATCTGGAAACAATACTTCTGGAAGTCTAAGCACTCTTCTTGGGTTTGTAAAGTCACATTTAAACCCCTAAGTCTATAGAACAAGTTCTGAAAACTGCCAAAGTGCTGGCAGTTGTATTAAACTGAGAAGAGCGCTGCTGCATGTTCTTTTCTAAGACTCCACCTTAAAAGTTACACAGTAGAAACCACTCCATTTTTTGGCCTGTCACTGGTATAAGTCAGTTACTTCCATTTATCATTTCACTCGTGTATAAACCAGCAAAACTCACCTAGCCTCTCCATAAATGACTAGAGCTTAGTGCTGCAGAATAACTATAAAAATAGAAAGCGTTCACAGCACTTAATTTTCTAATCATTCTGAGATGCAACTACGATCAGCCTTCGCATTTCAGGCGGACTGTACTCATTGACTGCTTAATGCTGTGAAGAAGCTTCTTCTAGAAGCAGAGTACGCGTGGTTTTGTTTCTTTTTTTAAACACTTTTTTAATGCCCTGTTCAGCAGAAACTAGTTAGATCAATTTCTAGGACATCTCAAAAACAGGCCTTCAGAATCAACCACAGCAGGAACTGCCGCCCAGTAGTACTGATGTATCAGCACCAAACCAAGTACTGAGTTCTTGGTATGTCTTTTTTACTAAAGTCACATTACACAGGCTTGCATAAGCCAGTACTTGGGTTACCCAAACCTGCTTCCCTAGAATCAGAGTACAAAGCAATCCATCTGTGCACAGCAAGCTTCTTGGATTCAGGTGCTGAAGTGAGTTCTCATCTGCTCTATGCCAAGTCAAGCAGTTATTTCCTATTAACATGCATCTTGTCTTCATAGCAGCAGTCACTCACCTGATCCTTCACGCATTCCACTGTGGCTCTGCGGAACGGTGTGATGTTAACAGCCATTGTCTGCCCATTTTGACCAAGAACACAGAGCTGAAACTTTACTGTCTCTCCCTTTTGCAGACAGTCACCTTTGTTTGCCATTCCAACAATTCCAAATGGATAGACCTCTCCTTTCATCTCACCTAGAGGGAGGAAAAGTACAAGACAGAATTGAGAGGCATCCTTTCCTATCTGAGGGCATTCAGAATTTATTTCCAATATTAGAAATGATACTTTTACTGTCAGCTTAGTAGTATGAATATAGTCTGTTGTGTGAATATAATCCTCAACACCTCCATTTAGAGTTTATTAAACTTCTACGGTTCCTGTGCGTTTGTGAAAGGAACACTTACAATTTAAAAGCAACAAATCTTACCATCCTCCATGACTTCAATCATGCCCTGGTATTCAGTTTGTGTGGGATCTACACTCCTTAAAGGACGAATTACTTTACCAGAGTAAACAGTTGGATCAGCTTCTTCAGTGATACCATTCACTGAAACGAAACAGACAGTGCAAGAACAGGATGTTCTAGTCATACTTTATTTTAAAAAGAATTAGTAAGTGATTCAGATTGATCAGGAGCCAATAGTTTGCACTGCAAAACACCTAAGGCAGTGCACTCTATCACCCAGTAAAACTGGAACAGCTTTAACACGGCAATAAGTAATGATAGCTTTTTTAATCAAGACCACACTGACAGTTCAAACATGGAAGTGGAAAAAATTAGTTTCTCATGAAACTAGAGGCCATGGAACTTGCAAAGCAAATCAAAGTATTTTACTTCTCTTCCACTGCATTCCCATTCCCTGCTCACTTTAATCATTCAATTATCTTTAAGTATGCATTTTTTGCCCCCAAGTCCTTAATACCCGCATCTGCATTCCTCCTGCAATTTTCCTCCTGTGAGGTACAGCACAACTAGTACAATTACTAATTTGGCTAGTTCTGCCACTAGGTCTCTCCTTATAACCCTCCAATTGAAGAGGACGGAGCATGGAAAAGGTCCAAAGAGTTGCTACTGTCTACAGGACTGTTGGTCTGCACTTGTCTGTTCTCTGGAAACACAGGCAACAGCTTTCAGGAAACCAATGACCACCACATTAAGCATCGTCCGCTTGGTCTAAGCTCCAACTGTAAATAGATTATTAATGAACTTTATCCATCAGCACCTGCCAAGAGCATTGTAAGCACAAAATACCAGGTACAGTCTTACCTGCATGTGTTTTGTTCACCTTTTCTGCACTAACTTTGTTTCCTTTGCCTTTTGACAAGCTGTATTCAACAGTGTCTCCAAGTTCCAGGCTATCAATATCACCACAGTATTCACTACAGGAATAGAATTAAGTACAATTTTCCTTTAGTTACATGACAACAGTGATGCTCATCCAACACTTACATAAGTTGATCAGAAACCATTTAACTAGCTCAGCACCTCACATTTTCAAGAAATCCTCATTCAAGAAAGTGAAGCATTTCAAATATACAATACAACTGTATTTCTAGGCCTGGAATTCAGAGGCATAGAACACCAAGACTGCTAACGGAAAAGCCCGAACCAGTCCAGCAGAGATAATAAATAGAACCTGAGACACCTAAGCGCCTGCACGCATGCGTGTGTGTGTGTGAAGTCCAAATGGGTTTAACAGTCAACCCTACCAAACTCCACCCCCCCCACCCCCCAACAAACAAAACCACACACACAAACAAATAATAATAACAAAATTGCCATTCACCTGTAGTGGAAAAAGATCTCCTTATCATGATTGGCTGTTTCAATAAATCCAAAGTTATCTTTCAGGGCTGCCACATATCCCAAAAGCCTCTTAGAGCTGTAATTGCGTCCTAGCATTCTGACAGAAACAGCTGTTTGCAGACCAGTTCTCTTCACTTCACAAACACTGAACTCAACCTGTTGAAGAGGAGCATATCAATACTAGCTAGAAAAAAACCAAACAAACCACAACCACCAAAACCATGACCACCAACAAAAAAAGAACAAAACTGAAACAACTCATTTCAAAGCTGTGTAGCTCTAATCAATATCTAGGCTCTCCAGGAAAGTAATTTTCTAGCCACTGCTCTCCCAGAAACATCTGTCAGTCATTGACATTTACAACATTCCAAAGAGTAGCAGTCACACCAGTGACATCTGCAAGGTAAGCCAGCCTCTAGTACTCAGCTTCTTGTACCTATTAAAGATGAGAATCTTTCTGCTTATGTGATTTGCCTCCTTTCACTACACTTATCACCAGTGGCCCACAGTGAGTATTTGCTCACTTGTTTGATTTTCAAAAACAGTAATCAGTGCCTTCCTAGCATGGCTCCTGAACACTGACAGTTTTTAGGCTGCTCTTCCAGGTCTCCGAGCTCTTTCTCCCTTTCCATTGTCTCTCAGGCTAATCTGCTCATAAGGGTATGTTCTCCCTCTTCAACATTAATCTCAAAGTCTTTATGCTAATTTCCTCTTGATTATTCACAAGCGGAGTCCACTGTCTTAATGATAAGAATTCCTTGTTTAAAAAGCATCATTTACATACTAAGACACTTTTTTCATATATGTATCACCAGGTTTTAGGATATTTTTCTTAGTTATACAGAAGATTAAGCCACTCAAACCTAGAACAGAGGAAAAGAAATGGGTGACATCACACAGATGCCTTGTCCTTCGTTTGTTCTCAGAGGGAGAACAAATCCAGTAACAAGGCAAAGAGAAGCTCACATCTCACAATGCACAGAAAAATATTTCCCAATGGTATACTTAGTTATATTGCCTTATCTCCTATCTGGGGATTAGCAGATCCTTCCACATCCTTGGCCTGGTAAGGAATAGTCAGTTTTACTCCACAGTCATCATAAACAATTATTCCATCCTCAGCTTCCTAAAAACAAGACATCAGAATTCAGCAATGGGTGTCTTATTTGTAAGCGAACAAGATTACTACATACAATTAAAGCACTGCTCATTTGAGCCACAGTGGTTTTACAGTAACTGCTCAGTAACTGGTGAAAAACACAACAAAGCAATCAACTCTGAGTAAGAAGCTTTAAATGATATTAGACAATATTTTTGAAGAAAAGAAAGTATTACCACCATTTCCAGTTAAGTATTTATTGAAAGCTTAATTATTCTGGCATTGTTTAAAACAGCATGACAAAACAACAGAGGTTCCCCTCTAGCCCTAGAAACTTAATTTTAACCAATTCTATTAGCATCTCATGTAGTAGGAGGTAGAAAGAAACTTCCCATCAAGTTCTTGGAAATTATCCTCAACAACATGATCATTAACGATGCTTTTATTATCTTGTTTCACACAAGTTAGTCTTCACTGACTACTGTCATTAGCTATTCAATGTAGTTCACATTCATACAGGATAAACAGTGCTTCAAAAAGTTGAATTACAGATCTTAAGGAAGCAGCCTCAGTCTCCAAAGCCAGGAACACAGAACAGGTACTTCACAAGTAGAAGAGCAGCATTACCTTCTCTTTGCCTTTATTTGGGCTAGTGGCTTTGGCTGGAGTGGCTTCTTTGTCTATAGTGCCCACAAAACGGTGATCTGATTGGGTGTGGAAAGAAACCGTGCCCTTTGGAAGTTTTTTAATCCTTATAGCATGATTTCTTTGGGCAGACAACATATCCTAAAAACCAAGATCGATCAGATTTTAGACAGACTGCAGATAGTTTCTTTAAAAACTAAGATTTCATAAAAGTATTAAGCTCACTTACAGGAACGACAGTAAACTCTACTTCATCAGAAATATGGAGTTGATTTCCATCCATAATTTCACTGAAGTGAAAGAACATGCGAGCATCCCGGTCCACACATTTAATGAAGCCAAAGCCATCTCTCATTGCTGCAATCACACCCTGAGAATAGTCAAATGGACAATTACAGTTTTACTACCACTATGCGACATCTGTCTGCAGGTACTCCACATCTGTCTGTGGAGTATGTAATAATCCGAACACAAGGCCTGAATCCTATGAAAACACTTCTTGGTTTATGCAATATGCTTCCTTGCAAACTGTAGTGCTAATGGCTATGGTCAACCTGGAATGCAAACAAGTCGTACTTACCTAGTTTCTCAACTTAATTTCTTATGAAGTGGAAAAGATTAATTTAAGCCATTAACAAGAAGGACTACAGTTAAAGAACCTGACATTACTACTACACAGAGAACACAATCTTGAAGGGGGTAACTCTACAAATACATGCATCATCTATACAAGTATATAATACATACATAAACACACACGAAACATAAAAGAACGTATGTAAACAGGAAATAAAACCAGTGGTTGGAGGGAAGTTTAAGAGAAAACCCATCAGATTTCCAGACACAAATGAAGAAATTAAAAAGCTTTCTTACAAAGAAGTTTGTTAAAACTATCATATCTATGGGCGTATATTATAGTAAACATGTTACATAATATTTTAGTGGCCTTCCTGGTAACCAGTAGAAATGGAATGCTGAATGATAAACAGAATATACTGTGCCCCATCAACTGTCAAAAAAATCCATTTCTCACCCTGACCTTTGGGTTAAAAAAAAAAAAAGGCTCCATAAAGTTGCTGAAAGAGTTAATTACTCAAGTTAGGAAGAACTAGTACCAGGTCATGCCAGAGGTATTGAGCAAGATAGAATTCATGAATACATTCAGTTCAACCCCGTTACTACAGAGCCTTTAGCAAGTCTCAGGGAAGGCTTATAGGATTTGAATGACAATGCAAAGATACCTTCCACCTTTAGGAACATTCCTCTCATATAGCTTTCACAAGCTCAGGAAAATCAGCTAACCTTTCTAGAAGCGGCCAATACTTGTCACCTCAATGACAGCTCGATTCAGGCAGGCAAATGTATCTAGCCAAAGTAGAAATATAAGAAGTCTATAGGATAGAATGCCAAAAACTGAGAGGCTGAAGTCAAAGTTCAGTGGTTTTCTTAAAGCAAAGGGTCCCTAATTCACAGCACACTGATGTGATAGCACTGTAATTGGACTCCAATTGAAAAGGAAGGCAAACTACAGTCTAGTTGGAACAGAACCAACATTCCAAATTACAGGAATGAAAGATATTCTTTAATACTGATTAGCACATCCATCTTAGTCCCTGTAATCCTCAAAGATTTTTTTGTATGTGATAGAACGCAGCTCTTTACTATCCTTCTGCTGGACCCTCAGAGAGAGAGAGAGATTGGCCAAAAAACATGAAATCCAAAAGCTGCACACAGTACCTCCTCTGAATCTTAAGACTTTTCACTACCTGAACCAGAGTAGCCCCCGGTTCTTCCAGTTTTCCTAAGGAACATAAGTAGTCACCTATTTAGACTCAAGCATGTGAATTTTTAAACTATCAGTTCAAGATTGCATTAATTCTCTGTCTGCTATAACCAGCTAGCAGTTTAATCCAAGAGGGCCAATTAAGGTCTAATTTTCTAATATGATTTCATTTACTTAGTAGTTAACTTATTCTTTTAAAGGAAAGATGCACAGCATTAATTCTGAACTTTATACCATTTAAGCACTTTGAAGTGTACATCAGAGGACTGAATTTCAGAAAAGGCAATGGAAGACACTAGTGATTTTTACATTAAGTTATTGTTTAAGACAAAACCCCCATGTTTTACTTTCATTTCCCCTCAAGAATTAACTTTTAAAGATAGATACTTGCCATTTCCCTAGTTTCATTAGTAAACTGGAAAGTATTGGGGAGAACCTCAATATTGGTGGCTCGTTCCAGTTTGTCACGTCTGTCTGTTGAAATATTGAATCGAACGTGGTCACTTTCCAGCAAGGTCACCTTGGATTTTGTATCTTTGTCTCCAAATGGAAGTTCTTTAGGAATCACGAAGTCAACTTTGATGCGGCCAGGTAATGGATCGCTCTAGCAGACACAAAACCCAACAGAAAAAGTTAGTTCACCTACAAGACTCAGCATAACTGCAGACAGACGGAATGGTTGGCAGAAATACTAATGCTAACAGAAGTATGGATGACACCAAATGCCTGCTGGACTCAGACCACGATGCTTCATTTCTACCACTCCTAATTTGTAATTTACTGTCCATAGCCAAATGCAAGATAGTTTTTGTTGGTGGTGGTTGGGTGTCTGGGTTTTTTTTTTGTTTTTAAGCACCAAGCATGTATTGCCAAAGAAATTAAGACCCTATTTCAAGAATTAAATTTATAACCGTACTTATGCAGCAGACTGTTACAGGGAAAGGGGAACATTTTTACTGTTTGACTGGAATTCAATACAATCAATACAACATTTCACATAAACTTAACTAAATACTGAAATTCACCTGGTTTTTGCTGGGTACTTTCGGAATTACTTTGGTTACAGTTCCTTCAAAATGTTCAATGCTGATGTCTTCAAAAATGACAGTTCCTTGAGGCAGCAGTCTAACATCTGTTGCCACTTCTTTACCCTAAAAGCACAAAATCAGTCAAATACCCATAGAGAAGAGGTAAGGCAGCAGACATTTTCCAATGAACCTCCTCCCCCTCTTTTTACAAGTGAATTTGAGAAAACAGACATCTGTCCAGTTATGCCCTAGGATCTTGTCTTCAGTTTTTACTGGATTTCGTCTTACATTTCTGTCTTTGATTGTAAACTCCACATCATCACCAGGCTGTAAGGCTTCTAGGTCACCTTTAAATTCACTATAGTGAAAGAATATCTCCTTCACGACATCACCCCTCTCAATAAATCCAAAGGCTTCCTAAGAACAGAACAAAGTGTTTAATAAATTGCCTATTCTCTGAACATACCACGACAAAATTTTACAGGTTCTATCAAACACAATGAAAGACTATGACATACCAGTATAGCAGACTTATGAGTGCATACAGCTAACAGACTACCACAAGAAATATATAAATGGAAATAAATGGGACTTCCTTTGTTAAGAACAGTATTAGAATCAAAGATTAGCTGTTTAAACCATTTCACCCAGTTTACACCCACAGCTTCAAACTGTTAATAGCTCTTAATGCCCTAAATATATTACTTATAACACCACTTTTCAGAACAGCATTTCTTTTTCAAATGAAACTTTAAAGCTAAAGCATCACTTACTTTCATGGCACAGACTACTCCTTGACAGCGGGCTTGTTTCTTTTTTAATAGCATAATGTTACGAGCACTTACAGCACCAGTACTAGAGGGAAGGAAAAAGTAAACAGAGCAAACCTGAAACAACTCAAAACTATATACTAAGATTATATTTTCATAATATAATGACATTTCATAATGTCATTTCCATTCTTGGAACAGGCATGAATTGCTGCCTGACTACTAAAACAAAGTATGAAGTCAGAAAAGCAATACCAACTTACTGTTTATTTGTATCAATTACAAAGTTTATTTTATCTCCTGTTTCCAGCTGTACATTTCCTTCAACGTCCTCCGGGGTGTAAGTCAGGTAAAATACTTCCTGTAAATAAACATTGACTAATATTAGTCTATTTGCAGAATAGTTGTTTCAAAGAAAGATTAACACAGTTTTGTTTAATAACAATATCTGCTAGTAAAGAAATTAATTTAGTGAAAAAATCAAAAATGGTCAAACATGGCATGCAAAAACATTCTTTTTTCCATGGTGGTGTTTTGATGAGTTTGTAACAAGCAACTTAAGTTGAAGGGTTTGTACATGACCATCTTTAAACGTCAATTTCTAAACTTTAAAAGTTCAAGATAAGGATACATGAACATTACATAACCCAGCTTCATTAAGTTTTAAAAGAGAAAAACAACTATTTGGCTCTATATAAAGTTCTCCATAGATATAAGCAAGCAAGCTGCCAAATTAACATTTCTGTTTGTAGTAATTACCAAAGCATGCCTTTTTTTGTTGGCCAAAAACTACAGTTCTTCACAGTGTCAACTGTCTACATTAAATTGTGTCAATTTTTTTGCTCATAGACCAAGAGTGATGGATCAGTGAAGAGTTCAAGTAAAATATGTAAGCTTTACCCCATTACGTTCGTAGCATACACTCCCTGTTGGACTCTGACCCGGGGCAGCTGGAGATTTACTCTCTAAATTGTGAGGAACAGCGCACACAACCTACCAGTCAAAAAAAAAAAAAAATCCATTGCTAGTCATTTCAGGAGCAGCACTGTTGAATACAAAATGAATCTCGGCTTCCTCTACTTATACACTCAGGGATGCACTTCTAGTGTAACTCAACAGGGAATGCCACGCTGAAAAGTTTCAATCTTACAGAACACCTGTTGACTCTAAGAACTGTCTGGAGCTAAGTAAGAGCTCAAACTGAACCTCTGAATTTTTACCAGAATAACAAAAATATATTTCAGTGTAACTGAATACTGTATGTAGTTAATATGCATGCTAAATGAATCTAGCCTTCTGTACTGGAGTAAAGGATGGAAATTATGCATGTATAGAAAACAGGCACTAACTTGTCCATTTATTCGTTCTTCAGGTAATATTTCTGGTTTTATCTTCACCAATTTAATAGCAATGGGTTTTCCAGTTCGGCGATCAGAAGACACTTCAAACTCAACATCGTCTACAGGACAATGGCGTCACAGAGTTTTGTTTGGGTTGGCTGTTTTTGGTTGGGTTTTTTTTTAAATCACCAAATGGTTACATTTGATAATTCACTGCTTGTAGCCAAACACAACAAAGTAAAACTCAGGTGCTTTTGTTACCAAGGAAGGACACTATTTGCAAATATTTCTCTGGTTATTCTGCTTATTCACTCCTGTTGCTAATGAATTATTCTATTGTGATGGCTTGCCCCTCAATAATTCCCTCCCCCTGCCCCACTCACTATACAGCAGACTTCACACTGAAGTTCAGACAACATAACATATGCCATTAAACTGTTTAGAAACTTCACTGCCACATTAATTAGTAGCATGAAGTAGCAGCCTCCCCATTCTGAAAAACAATTGGCCGTCTTCAAACTAATTTTAAAAAAAGAAATACTGAGTACATGCGGTATGTTTTTCCACAGTCTAAGCACTTGCTTCCATCTCAGTTATAAAAGTTTGACCTAACACCGCACCTTTTCCAGAATGGCCAAAATTCTATTAATACAAGCTGCGCAAAGCTTAAGTGCTGTAAAGGTCTCTCATCGGGAGTGGTACATTATTAATTCAATTGTCTCTTTAGCCCATCAGAAGCAACAGCATGCATCTGTTCATGCCACAAGATAAAAGGATTTTCTATGGCAAGTGAAAGAGACTGGTCTTCACTCAGTCAAGAAGCTCTGAAAGTTGCCTAATTACCTCCTACTTTGAGCTCCTGTAAGTTGCCATTATACTGTGAACAGTGGAAGAACAGTCTAGCTTGCCGTTCTGAACACTGAATGAATCCGTAAGAGGTCAGCAGTTTTTCTATAACCCCAGTCTCACGTAGCGCTGCCGAAGTACCATTGGGGTACCCGTTGTGTCCATTGTTGTGGAGCAGGTTTGGATCAAAGCTCATCTGTTTAAAAGAAAGCGGGGGGGGGGGGAAAGCAAAAAACACTACTTAAAACAAGTCTCCTTTCTCCATGCCCACATAACAGAATAACAAACACAAAGAGCTTGTGGAAGCTACTGTAAGAAGCAAATTCTAACCATTTTTAAAATAGAGTAAGAACATCAAAATAGTCAAGCTTTTGTAAAACAGTAATGCTTAAAATTTAGACAGGCAACTTATTTATCAAATAGGCCAGAAATACAACACCGAAATAAAGCTTGCTTAGACCAAAACAAACTTCTGACTCTCTTAAGTATTATACCTCAAAGTACTCCCACATTCACTATTTCACATCAGAGCCTGAAAATATCTAAAGTATCTGCTCTTCCAAATTAAACAGGTAATTCGGAAAATGCAACAGTTATCAATCAACAGAATTACACTCACATCCCTGCAAAGTTTGTCCCTAGTTTGTCTGTTCAGTCTTTCATACTAAAAAAATGGTTTTAAGTATTTAAACATTTTTGCACAGTTATGGAATTAATACCCAAAATTAAACTAACATTTCTGTGGCATAGGAGCTCAAGTGATAGAGAGACTGAGAAAACTTGAAAACAGCATTAAACTAAAAAAAGTTAAAGCTGTAATGAACTTTAAATTAACCTTGAACCCATGAAAACCTTTTTTTGGGGGGGTGGGTGGGGTGAAGAGGTGTGTCTTGTCTTTTCAAGGTACAGACTCAATATTGGAACATTCACAAGGCCCTTTACTAACTCACTGGCTTTTTGATGTGCAAGTCTCATTTTTAAAGCAAGCCATTTCCATTTACAGGTCAGCAATTAAATCCACTGAAATTTATTACACCTCACCAAACACTTTATTTCAAGAAAGACTACTGAAGCAACCCTCCTCAAACAGTCAATGTTCATCTTAAAATACAGTATTGGAGGGTTTTATTTGCTGAGTACTCTGAGTTTCCAGAGTATTTATTTTGGAAACAGAATGAGACTGTGTCTGTTCTCTGCTTTCTTGTTGCATCAAGCAGAAGGGATTCAAAATTAGTCAGCAATACATTTAGTAGAGATAAAAGGTGTCTGAGCAACTTGTAAAACGGTCATGCTTCTTAATCTAATACAGACATCAAGTTACTCAACGTATTAAAAGGTATAGTTACAGCACGTCTTATTATGCTGTTTGGAAATCAGTTTAAAAGTTATCAAAGAGCATCACTTCAACATATGAACCCCCACCTTTTGAGGAAGGCAACCCCTAGGACATTCCATACACAAGAAGATGCCCTTGTGGGAAGGCAACAGCTGAAATGTTTGATTTTAAGCCATTCTAGAATTTGAAATACTTTTCAAAAATAAATTGGTCCTGCAAGTAGGGTGGCTAGGGGAAAGGAAAACGATATATTATTATACCTTTTCCCAGGAGAATAATAGCCAAGACCATTAATCCATTCTGAAAGCTCAAATCAGTGTGACAAATGCTTTTTGTGAGTCATTTACAAAATGGCCACTTCACATCTCTGATACAAGGTAAGTACACAAACACACATACACCTCTGCCACAGACATTAAGTAACAGACTACTACTAAAGGTACATCAGATACAGAAAATGACAAAATTCTACCTAAAAATCAAGTTCAGAATAGCCTATCTTAGTATTAGAAAACCACACTGCTGTAATCTCTGGCTCAAGGACTACCATTGTATGATACCGTTTGAACAGTTTGAGTTTAAAGGAGTATTAGTAGTATAGCACAAAGAACTCATCATCAGTCATCTAAAGCCTGACAACTTAAGTTCAAACAAAGATACACTCCTCAGGGTGGCACTAAAATTTGCTGTAGAGAGAAAGTTACACGATAATATCAGCAGCCTTTTCAGATGCTTGTCATATTCCTATACCTGTTCAAATATAATGTTATAACAGAGCATAACAAAAATCAAACACAACGTCCATTTATACGTATCACCAGGAGTATTGTCATAAAACTTTAAGAAACTTCTAGTTATTACTAGGCTACAACCTATTAATGTACAAACAAGACTTGCTTGCACCTACAATATAATGGTTATATACTGGACCACGACAACTACCTGACTGTGCTGTCCACTGCCAACAGTTCACTCCCAACAGTTGACTTTTAACACAGCTGACCTGTCAGTTTACAAGAACTATGAACCCCACTAATACAAGTACTCAGAGGAAGAAAAAAAACCTGTGCCGTAAGATTTAAAGATGACTAAACAGAGGTTATTTGAAAAAAGGGATTGGAACCACAACACTACCATTACTAGAAGAGAGAAACATTCATAACCAGCTCTCCAGGGTTATAAGTATTGTTAAATAGAACCATATTGCAGGTACTATTAATTTGTCGTACTACTATTAAATCAACATAACAGCAAAGAACTGCTAAAAACTCCTAACAAAACCCACACCCTTCTGTTGACAGCTTGTCTCCTATTAAGTTTAGAAATAGTTATAACTCTTTATATAACACATGCACCAACCTCGCAGTGATATTCAAATATTGCACTTTCAGTAGTATTAGCCGATTCTTCTGTTTCAGCACAAGTTTCTAAGGATGAAGACTGCTATTATTTTAAAAAAAAAAGAGAGAGAGAGAGAGAGAGAGAGAGAGAAAGAAAAAAGATAGCAAGAGAACGTGATCTATCAAGCTAATAGAGAATACAAGTGCTGCTGCCCTGGGCAGTTTCAATACAGCACTGGAGAAAACAAAGACTACTAGCAGCGTTGGGACGTGCTCTTTTGAAGCTGTTGAGTAGGCACAAACTTCTTGTTTCAGATCAAGCCTTGTATCTTCAGTGTAAGTTTCCTCTTCTTTGGTCTTGAGTTGTTGTTACAATGCGGTATATTCTTTTCCTGATCTGAACTTGAAGCAGCAGTTTCAGGTGGTAAATTCTGTTCTGTTCCACTTCATACTGGAGAAATGAAAAAGACACACACTAAGTATCAATTTAAAAGAGATTATACAATCAGTCCTAGGTGTTCCTACAAACAGGTCCATTTCCTCTACCTTAATACTCTAGGTTTGATCCGTGCTAGGAAAGACTGTTTTACAGATATATTTGTCATTCCCGTTTTCAGTCGTCTTTTCCAAGAAACTCTACCTCCAAGCCAGTGATATGGTATTTCCAACTTTAAACTCTTCAAATGCAGTTATGCATTTCGGGAAAGGTCCCAGTTTGTACAATTAAAACAGCAACTTCATTTTGACGAATAGCAGCATCGTTTAACGCAAGTCTTAGGCCTCCTATCAATAACTTTATATGGGTGCTGTCTCATAATTTAATTAATAAGTGCTTGCACAGACCTTCAGAGTAGCAATAGGGTGTATATGTGGGGGGGAATTGGAATTTCCTGATAATTTTTGTTCCAAAAGGTAAGTCAAGGACTAGCAATACTTGAAGTACCTTTAGCTTTGTATAAAAATAAACAAGCTTCTCAATTATATGTACAGATGCTGTATGCCTGTTCTACACAGACCATATGCACCCTGGCATAGCATGTAAAATAACTGCAGAGCCATTTTCTGGACTTCTTAAAACAGTATTTGCAAAATGTTGATTACATATAGAAAAATATTTGTGTAGATAACATAACAGAGAAGCTTCTCTGCAACAGTAACTAGATAATAATTCTCTCCTGAAGTTTTCCAGTACCACTTTGTTTTCATGAGAAAACGGTTTAGACAAACTGCTCCCTACCACATAAAACTGAAACGTTATAGAAACAGAAGCTTTTTTTGAGAAGAAATAAAATCAAGTTTTGATTTGCGTTTGTTGCTTCCTCAGTAGATATAGAAAAAAAAAGGGGAGGAGATTTTTGTGGACAAAAGCTGCTAAGAAGCAACACACCTATGAATAAACTAGCATGTTATGCAGTAATCTAGAGGTATGAAGCATCAGAGCACAACTTTTCCCCAAGTCATTCCCCAAGTCCCTCACCAAATGAGCAAAAATATGGACAAAGCCTATTTCTCCATTGTAGTGGAAAAGTGAATTTTCACAATTTACACTGAGCTTTTTATTCCCTTTAGTGAACTTTAAAGAGTCAACTTAAGTGACTGAAACGTGAATGCAAAGACATTTAACTCTCATCACAGTGAAAATGCTGACTGCAGTCAGCTATTACAAATAAGAACTCTAAACCCTAAAAGCACACAATGGCTGTATGCAAACTCATCGCTCAGTTTTCACAGAAGTTTGTATTTCAATGACCTGTCCTCCAGATTAAGGATCTTCCCTTAGTCACCACTCTGAAAAACCTTCGACTGAAATAAGTTTTCTTGTCAGACCGTTACACATACATGAGTGAGACTAAATAAGAAACTGGATGAGGGCAGTACAAACCAGTATCTGGTATAAAAGGCTTGCAGTGAAAGATTCAGTAAGAAAATATAAATCGGAAGACACAAAGCTATTGCAAAAATAACAGGATCACCAGACTTTTCACATACCTCCGTATTAGATTCAGGCAACTGTTACCACAACCTCTTTCAGGATAGTATTCTTTTTTGGACAGCATTTCAGACCTCAAATGAGCATCCCCCCAACCAAGTTCAGGAGGAATGAAGCAGGCATACACTCTATCACAGGAACTGCACAGAGACACTTAGAATCTTCTTATTCATGTACTTCTCTCTCATCTAATTAGACTAATATTTATTAGAGTTCTACTAGAGCTGTAACTTGTATCATATTACCTTTCTCATTTTTCTGGGCATAGAATATATTACATTTTCATAGAATAATCAAAACACCTCTTCTGCCCAAAGATGACTAAAGCTAATTTGTTATGTCATGAAATAAGGCATAAGCTTTTCCCTTAAAAGCCAGTTCGATTTCGTAACAAGATTGGTTTACTACACTTAAGTTATTAAAAAAAGGGGGATTGTCAAGCAAGCCTAACTCAAATAAAAAAAAAAACCTCTCACTGTGTGTGTCTGCCTCAAATTCTTTACTTTTTAATTCAGCTACTATAAATACTCCTCCAAATGGTAAACACCCTAAGCAGCTGCCCAGCCCCCAAGTCACACTGGGTTCTGCATTTGTATATATACAGCTGAAAGGATTAATGCAAAGACAGGGAAGAGCTGTACAAATCCTGTTCTTGAAGTTTTTCAGGTGCAGATTTTGCTAAATGACAGTAAGTCACATAAAGCTGTTCAGAGCTAGAAACCATCTATACAGCCTAACAGTAGAACCTGCCGGATTACACTGTTTTGTTTACCATTTTCTTCACAAAAAGAGGTAACTGCAAGAACACGTATTTTACTGGATTAGAACATGTGCTTCTAGAAATATCATCTCTTACATGACTAAGATCAAACTTAATAAAGATAAAACTTTATATTTTCAGTATGCATGCACAACACAGCTATTAAATGATACTTGGACATAAAGCTATTCCACATCTTTTCAGATTAATACTGGAAAGCAGCACCGAACACTAGCTCTTGAGCACCCCAACCAATACATGACAGCTACGAGATCAGCTACTAACATTCACTAGATTAGTGAAGTCACTTTTGCATCAAAAAAATACATCTATGGGGAGGAAAAAAAAGTTAAAGAACTTCCAAGAACGTCTGTAAAGGCATATATACATGTAGAATCATTTAAAAAAAAGAATCGTAAAAACAAAAATCCGTTTTCTTTTAACGGGTCTGGAGTTTGGGGAAGAGCCCTGTGCTTGCTATTAATCCAGAGAACAGAGAACGTCTGTAAAGGCATATATACATGTAGAATCATTTAAAAAAAAGAATCGTAAAAACAAAAATCCGTTTTCTTTTAACGGGTCTGGAGTTTGGGGAAGAGCCCTGTGCTTGCTATTAATCCAGAGAACAGAAAATTGGACCCAGACCGATAGAGACTCGTCGCAGGCCTTCAGGAGGG